CACCAACTCAGAAGAAGTGCTAACTGTACCTTCTCAGAGTTCTGTGTGTCGCATGGGTTTGGTGGTGAGCTCTTCTGCCAATTAAGTGGAGGGCTTTGTTCTCATCACCCAAGCAACGAACTGAGTGATACAATACGAAGACCATCCTAAACAGTCACCGCAGACCAGAAGAAACAGAGTCGCAAAGCTCTCTCGACCACATCGAATGAGTGAAGCACCAACGCACGCTGGACGCCCTCACCAGGTGAGTGCCACATGCGAAAAGCCACCAAACTGCTGCCATAGGCACGAAGAAGAGGCCAATCGAGGACGAAACGGCCTGCACCCTCCCTTGATGTTGCAGGGCAACCAACAAATCGTGGGTCGCCTCTGCATCATTGTTCAGTTGGCCCTTCACCTTGTCTAAAGAGTTGGAGATGTGACTGAGCTCCTTGATTTGCCTCGGTGAGATCCAGCCAATCAAGAATGACGATGCAAAGAAACAGGTGGAAAGTCCGTGCCAGTTTGTCCCTGGACTTGCTGGGTCAAAGTCAGCACTCGAGGCACCAAACATATCATGCTGAGATTGCCCAGGTTTCAGGACTTCAGGGCTTTAGATGTTAAGGTGGCTTTTCTGCAATCCATGATCTATCAGTATATTTATAAGTGTGTTTCTTTGCTGCCGTCTTCGGAGCAAACTCGTCTACACCGTCGACATGCCATGAAATCCAGATCTTGGACGACACTCTGACGAACGTGGAAACCATGGTCGCACAGAAGACCATAGTTGACGAACATGGGTGCTTCCCTCCACTTCCATCGCTGGGCCTGCTCAGCTCGGCTAGCGCACACAGCAAGTCAGACGATACACGGTGTAGCAAAACAAAAATCTGCCGTTTGCAATGTGAGAGTCATCTGTATGCGGTTTGCTGATACGATTCCTGGGTGTAGATACTATTGGGTGAATACTATACCAATGGAGTTCCTGAAAATTCTCACTCTACGGTGTTGTTTTTCTTCCCGAAGCACTGCTTCCCCTACTGGTATGTGGTATGATGTGGTATGTGGTATATCTCTTTGTTCGAGCACCCAACTTCCCATCGCGGTCTACACGACTCGGCCGAGCAGTGCCGACCATCGGGGCGACGCTTCGAGAGGCTGGCCGGTTGGCTCTCCTTTTTGCTGGCGATCCGTGGTAGCGTAGTATGGCTTCTTGCTACTAGTAGTAATGTCAGGAGCTACTACTAGCGTCCTTGCTCCTAGTAGCGATGTCCTTTTTACTTGTTGCTACTAGCGTCCTTGTTCATCCGGGCGACGTTTCAAGCTTGCCGTTGCTCTCCTGTAGCCGGCGATTTTGAAAACCCAGCAGCGCCACGGAATCGCGGAGGTGCTTCAGGAAGCAAGGGTCCGAGCCCACGGTCACCGCTGTGCCGAAGGCTGTGAAACAGAGGAGGAAGCTGTTCCTGCAGTTGCGACAAATGGGGTGTCTCATGTGTAGTACATGTCATTTGTGTCCATGAAAACACCTAATGAAAAGATGGTGCTTTCTGTGGAGTGTGTGGGATGCACACTGAGGCTTGCAGGACCGAGGCTGTGGAAAAGGCCGACCGTTGTCGACGACTGTGGATGATCGAGTCCATGTGTGAACACTTGGCCAAATGTCTGCACTCCAATGTCTTATCTTCATTTATCTTGCCTTTTTTGGGCCGAACAGTTCGGCTTTTCTTCGAAACCCGGCCCAAGCGAACCGGTGTCCACCGCCCATTCGTCCAGGTGTCCAAGAGAGCAGCCGGTCATGGGCAATGATGCCTAGCAGGCCGAAGACGAAGCCGATCAAGGCCAGAAGCATCAATCCGAAGGCCACGTTCTGCATGTTTTGCAACACACCTCACATGTGGTGCGCATGACGCACAAGTGGACCAGGTTTTTATATTGGAGCGCATGTGAGAACAACGCTTCTGCATAACATGTAATTATGAGAATAGGGTGACTGTTCTGGCGGAAGAAGTGTTCTCTCCTCCAGAAAGTCTTTGGGAAATTTCTCCACGCGCACAAGTACCAGTATCCCAGCAGATCCAGTCCAAGAAGGAGGTGCACTCCGATACATGAAATCTAGATCAATCTAGCCTGTCAGCCATCCTCCAAACGACTGTCACCCATGGACGGCGCCGTTCGTGCACTGGAGTCTGATCCGATGGTGGGACACCGCAGGAAGGAGAGGGTCCAAGTGCGAAGTATTTGACTGATCCGTCTTTTAGGTATGCAGCACCTAAGATGCAGTTCATTCACAAGACCTTTTGCAGCACTTGGGGTACGGAAATCAGGGCACTTTATGAATGTTCATGGAAAGGAAAACCCAGGGTAACCTCTGAACTGCTCACAGGTTTAGTAAGGTAGCAAAACATGTAGCAACTGCCGAGCTTTGATCCACCTTGTCAAACAAGTGTCTAAACAGAGCACCAAAGGAACCAAATTTCAGGAAGAATGTGCACACCTTACTTTGAAGGCAAAAGCTGCCAAGTCTCTTGCAGTGTCTGTCGAAAAGAATGTCGTCCCTGAGAAAAACGTGTGGCACAGATTATAGATTGCATTAGATTGCTGGTTCTCCTGGACTTGGTGCATCTGATTTTGCATTTGTTCTCGTTATTCTCGTCTCAACTGGGGTCCTGAGATGGACTCCCCTGCCGGATTCCCGGAATCTGTGGGATTTCCTCGACCCAACTGCTTGATCTTCATCGAACGGCCCAAGGGTTTGGAATGGTTTAAATCTAGAAAAAAAATAATGTGGGAGCGCTTAATCTCCCCCCACCCTCAGGCAGGTGGAGCTTCCTTGAAGAAGCGTGAGTTGTCTTGCGTCCTAGCTAGGAGCGAACTAGTCACCCTTACTTAATTGAGTAGGCGCCTACTTGATTAAAGCTTAATTAAGTAAGGGCGGGCTTTGAACAAATCAGTTCACTACCACCGGTGCTGGCGGGGGACTCCCGCCTTACAACCGTGACTCCCCATGACTCGGAGTTCGGCGATCCCAGGGTCTTCCACGAGAGGGTACAATGACGATCACTTTTCTGAGGGTACAATGAGAGGATACATGAGAGGGTACTGTTCTTTTCTTTATCCAGAAGTTTATGACTTTGCAATGTTTTTGGCCTCTGACCGGTTGTTTGGGCTGGAGAACTCTGCCTGCCTGCCGCACGGTGGGTCGCAATTCTCGCCGAGTTCGACTCGGGCCCGACTCGGCGCCCAGGGACATCGGGCCGAGGGCTCTTCCAAGACAAAGCCCACGCGTTTCAAGCGCGCTTTCCTGAAACGGCCGTGCAGCGGCCGACGCTACGAGTTCGGGGCTCCTGGCCGGATGCTGCGAACGGAGCACCGACGCTACTATATAGGGGCTGGCATCGCTACTAGGAGCAAGGACGCTACTAGTAACTGAAGCATGTGCAGCGACGATCCAGACGATCCAGGCCATCCGGGGTGCTTGGTGCAGTTGAGAGGTCGGAGCTGCTCGACGACAAGAGGCGCCCCATGCACGTTCTCACTTTGAGTGTAAGAGATGTGGGCTATTGGTGACAAGGGGCAATGAGGAGGCAAGGTGGGGGAGGAAAACATAGGAAAACCATGTCGCATCTCATTGCATCAGTGTGCACCTTGCCTTCATCATTGCATTCACAATGCAAAAAATACATTTCAAACACAGAGGAAGTTCCCCCAACATCTGGACTCCTGATGCGAATCCCAAAGACTCTTGTTGGATGTCTTCTGACCAGCTCCCATCTAAATCCACTTTCATATCTATAATCTATAGGGAAAATCACTGGTCGGAGACCTGTGTCCGGAGAAAGAATGATTACCAAAACGGGATCCGAAAGCATCCATCCATCCATCCATGATCTGACTCGCGCTCTCATCCATGTGTCGTCTGCTCTTTCCATCCACTTTCCAAGTCTTCCTCCTCGCTGCTCTCACCGCTGCTCGAGTCCGCCGGCGCCATCAGCGCCCGTCGGCGACTTCGCGGGCGACCGGGGGGTCGAACCGGGTCCGGGTCGCTCGTTAGCTGGCTCCCTTGCTCTGCAATCATGGAAACTGTGGAGTGAAAACCCCCTGTTAGTAGAGGAAGGCAGTCTTCCACAAGGGGCCATTGTCCACTTCCATGATGACTTTCAGTGTAATCACAGATGGATACTCGCAGAAGCTAAATGAGAGCTCCTTATGTATGGGAGCCATGAAAAAAAACCTTTGGGAAGACCAGACCGGCCTTCGGAAGAGGTGCCTAAGAGGTGGCGTTTGCAACGACGCCCCTTTCGTGCTCGTCCTTAGCGGGAAGTGGGAAATAGAGGCCAAGAGGTTGTTGGAGGGGTTCTAAACGAAGAAAGACTGTATACATACCTGTATTTCCGATGTTCTATTCATTTCTATGTGTTGAAAGTACATGTGCATCTGGAGCACTTGAACAAATGGACACATCGGCTCCACCAGCCCGATGAAACGGGTCCATTCTCCGTTCGATGGAGAAAAGCTTCAATTGAACCCAAGGTCAGACCAATTAGTAGCTCCTGGCCTTACTAGTAAGTAGCAAATAGCCACTGGTAGCTTCTTGCTACTTACTAGTAATGCCCTTGTTACGTTCGTAGCCATGCACTTGTTACACTCCCGGACTCCCAGCCTCTAAGCTCTCTTAAGCCAGGCAGAGCAAACTGCGGCAGACGACGTTCCGTTGAGTTACTTACTCCTTTGAAGGACCCGAAACCCATGGATTCATGGCATCTGTCATATTTTTGGGATTCATACTTATATGAGCGCTCATATATATATATATATATATCCTAGAGAGAGAGAGAGAATTATATATATTAATAATATATATATATATATATTGGCCTGTAGCTACTGACAAAGCTCTGAAGTCCAACCATCTGTGAAGTGTCTAGTGTCTACCCAGCACAGATTCTGCACTGCTGACCACGATGAGCGTGACCCGACCCCGGGTGACGAAGGATACGATACGGAGGTTCTGTGGGCCCGACTGCATGAAGCCGTTGCTGGGCGTCATGTTCCTGGCTCCAACCAACGATCCGGTGGGCAAAAGGCCAACACTGTCAGTTTCCCGATTTAAACAAGTTGCTCGATGTGGCGCGGTGGTTCTCATGTGAGTCAACCGTATGCATTGGAAGGGGCACTTCCAAAGGTCGGGAACAAAGAGGTGGCTTTGAATGGCTACCGTATGTGCAGAAAGTATAGGACCGGGATCGTACATTCCAGGTGTGCATGTCATGCGAACCAAAGGTTAAATTCTGTACTGAAATACTTCAACCAAGAGAATCCTCCCCTCAGCAAAAAATAGCATCAAAACAGAAATATGCACACATCACAGAAATCTGCGAGCCAGGCAAGTCACAAAGAATATACAGTAACCGGAACACGACACAAACATGTTCGAAACCTTGTGTCAGTCATAGCTCTCTTTCCCGCTCGAAGATACCCCTTCTACCCCAGGGACCCACCCCACACTACCGGCTTGGAAACACACCTTCTACCGGTCATGGAAGCAAAGAATGGTTTCTAGATGCTTCTAGGAGCAGAAGTTGTCCCTCTGCTTGCAAAGGCTCCGGCTTTTCCACCTCTATGACTGGTGGCGGGAGAGAGTCTGTCCACCTCATCCACCTCATCCACCAAGCCGGTCTGCCCAAGCCGGTCTGCCAAGTGTCTGTCCAAACTCATCCATCCCGGTGGGGCCATCCGTGGTGCCCGCCGCGAAGGAGGTGCCCAAGCAGGGCTCGCAGGTTTGCACCTGAGAGTCGTTCCGAAAAGATGGAGAGGTGGGGGGAATGGGATGCGAGAAAGGAGACCTATGGGCCTATTGAACCTTTTTATCGACGCATGTTCTATCTACAAAGCTGTTAGGAATGGGAAGGTTCACCCACACGTAGGAGTTGTTCCTCTTTCTTGAGGGAGAGGATCTGTTTGAGAGTTTCTGAGTTGCATTTGGAAGTGAAATACTGGCTGGCATTCGTTCGTTCCACTTGTGCATTTCCTCATTCTCAGGAGGAAGATCACCATTGGATGATGGCTAGCCCCACGCACGAAAGATATCGAAAGATCCTGTTCATTGAGGACGTCCCCATGGGCTCCGTTCCCGGGGGCCCTTCCCCAATGTATGGAAACCAATCTTTTTGGTCCTTTGGCTTTGAATTGGAAGCTTGAGGATGAACAAACACCGCAAAAACTGAGTGACTCTGTTCAGTCCCCGAGGCGGCACAACAGGCGCCAGCAACTAGCAAATCCTACAAACATCACCCAACACAGAAAAAGAGGAAGGCTCAACGCAGAAACGCGATGAAACAAGCATCCTCGTGAGGTGATGGCCAAAGCGTCATAGCCACCAAACACACACACACACCAAACAAGGGAAGTGCACACATGATCGAGACCAAGCCATCCATGTTCATACTCGCCATAGAATCTGTCAGTTCCCGTTCTCCTAAAGTCTAAAGCAATGTTCTTCATCCTAATCCGGTGAGTTGGAGCAGGGTTTCCGGACAAATCATAAATCATAGTAACAAATGCATCGCTACTTACTAGTAACAAGTGCATTACTAGTAAGTAGCAAGAAGCTACTAGTAGCTATTTGCTACTAGTAGTAGTGCACTTGTTACTAGTAGCGATGCACTTAATATGATAAATCCAACCGTCTTTTCAAACAGGCTCAATCGAGCCACTGGCCCCGTGTGTAAAAACGGGCTCCACGGGGCTACATCGATTCATCTTGGCTTCATTGGCTTCATAATCGATTCAATAACCTCAGAGTTCACCTGATCGAAGCGAACTACCACGATGTCGTCTCTTTCCCAACGAAGGTGCCCAAGTTCCATTGCCATCACGGTCTACCCAGTACTTCGACAAGTCCTGAGTCCGAAATCGACAAGTCTTGGCTGCGACTCAAAGAGTGCCTAAAAATGCTGAATGGCTTGGATGAGACATCCCCTCGAGGTGGTCATTTCTTCGTTCTCTTTGTGTGATAATATATAATATATATATATACCCTAGCCGCCCTAGCCTTCAAAGACCATTCAAATCATGGTTGACCTGATCTTGTATTTGAAAATCCTCACATGTATAACAATGGTTAACCATAGTCTCTCCCTTGTGGTCGTGTCTCGCGTCTCACGGACCCTTCCACCATTTCTTTTGTGGGGGTTGCCAGAGATGGTCAATAGCAAAAGGTCCGGTGTCAACTGTTTTTGGGGTGTGATTGTTCAACACTATCCCATGGGAAATCACATGTTCATTGTATCATGATGCTCCTCATTTGAGGGTGGTACCATGATTCCGCTTTTACACGAATGGTTTCACCAATTAAACGTCCTCTCGTCCTCTTCCGGCCAGGGATCGAACACCTCTTGGCAAAAAAGCGCCAGGGGTCGATTTAGATCACGGTGGGTGTTGCTATAGAGGTCAATTTGGTAGAGACCGTGACAACACGGTACAGGGTTCGGTGGAGGGTCGGTCATTGTTTCTTGAGGTTGTAATACAGGTGTGTATACTAGAGGTCAATTTCGGTTGTTGGAATTGCAGGGTGTATATATCATATCAGTGAAATGTACGCAGAACCTTCGAACACGTTACAACCGAGCAGGGTGGCTGATCATGACTGATGCCTCTGATCTCGGCTCAAAATCATCCTGACTAACCATGGTCACTGAACAATACAAGCACACCTATATATATATATATCAAACTCTAAAGGCTCCGGCTAGACATCTTCATTATCTTGGATGGTCGAGTCTTCTGTCCGGACCACCACCAAACAAGCACCAAAAACATACACATGTCAAAACACGTGTAAAACACACCACAGGTGACCGGAGGCGTTTCGTTCGTTGTTGTCGCGCCCAGGCGTCCGCGAAGCGAAGCACGTGATCCACGCCGGTCCCTGCGGGAAAAAAGAAAGTGGATGGTGGGTCATGGTGGATCTGAAAACACCGATTCACTGGTCCGAGCCAGGATGAGCCAGGTATCTCATGACATCTTGATGATCTTGGATGAGCCAGGTAGCTTCATAAGGAGATCTCATGATCTCAAGGAGTCTTAGATGTTACATGCAGCCTTGCAAAGTCATGGACATGAGATCGGCTGCATCGTTGGAATGGATCGACGACTATAGCTGGACGAGCTGTAGCCTGCAGATATCCTTTTTCTTGTTGGTTGTTGGCCGAAAAAGCATCTCCTGAATATGGGAGGGGGGGATGCCCTTCAGCTAACACAAATACGGGCACCCCGATAATAGCTCCTGAATGCAATTGATAGTTAAAAGCACTTCATACAATATCCCCTTACTTCATCACTAAAAGTCCCGGAGTTCTTGGACTTCGACATCCAAACAGCCGCATCGATGGATGCTTCCCTCGCCGGCCGCCGATCTTCCTCGTCCCGTTGGGTGGTCGCGGATCCGCCCAAAGGCACTTCCCATCGGCTCGGCCGCCTACGGGGGTGGTGGTCCGGTTGAAGATGGTCTTGGCGGCGGTCTTCTGGCGGCTGCCCAGAATCTTCATGGACTCGTACTTATCCTCAGGGTGACGAGGCACGCATGGGACTCCAAGCATGGCTGTTGAAAGGAGAAAGTGGTGTTGATTTAGATCTTGTTTGACTGGGCTGCCTTCCAGAAATGGAGCTAGCAGTCATCCAACACGGTCTATGATGATTCTTGTGAAATCGCATTCTTTCATATTGATTGAATGGGAGGTGAGCATCAACTTCCCTGCACTCTCCAGCTCTCCGGCTATCCCATCCCAAGCTAAGAGACCTCAACAAGATTCAATAATAAGCTACCCAGTACCTGGTCCATCCTGGTCCCTAGGACCAACCCGCCGAAGCTGCGGCCCCAAAAAAAACCTGCGAGAAGAGGAAAGGGCCGGAAAAAATCTGAGAGCGCCCGGGTGCCTCGCCATGGTAAGGGAAAACCCCCTGTCTAAATGTAAAATACTCTCTATACATATATGTACTGCATTAATGACTATATAACTTGAAGCTTTGAACCATGCATCTTCCATGTTGCACCACAAACAGAGGACATCGTGGACAAAATACCTCATGGATCTCAATGAAATATATATAGATGGTTTGACCCAGCCTGGCTGGCTGTTGGTCAGACCTTCTTGGTGTCCAAATGCAAAATGACTGAGGAATCCAAAGAATTGACATATTGACCTTCACCCCACAAGCCCTGGGAAAAAATGTAAAAACGGAACCATCCAGCAAAATCGATGAAATGCTCTCATTGGCCGACATGAAGAACTGAAGAGCACCTGATTAGACTCTTTAACTGATCAACCAAAGGTTTGACTTGAGACCAGGAACTTCCAAGTAAGTTCGCGTCATCCAAAGGGCTGGGATCTGGGTGATTTTAGGGCCAACCGGCTCTATCCCTCCAGCATCACGATTCCCAAAGGGCCCGAGGGGTCCTGCAAAACCAAGTTGCTCGGCCCGGACCTTGACCCAAACACAGGGAGTTCTTGTGCTGCCCATTCGACCAACAAACCTGGGAAAAAAAGGAAAAGGATCTGTTGGAGGAAAGGAAAAGGCTATCAACATGTGAGTGTCGGACAATATTACTTATTACTCGCAAAGGACGTATATAATTTGGGTGGGCCTCTATCGGTTTTCAGGTTTTGGCATATCTTTACATGTATTTTGGTGGTACCCTATCGGTCTCAGGTTTTCTTATACCTACAACTCTTTGGGGTATCAGTTTTTGGTAAGGCATCACCCATGCTAGAGGGTATCGGTTTTGGGTGGGCCCTTATCGGTTTTGCAGTCAAATCACTTTTTCCCCAAAAGCCATGCTATGGGGTCTTGCAAAACTAGTAGGCGGACGGGCGCCGTCGGGTCACCGTCAGAGCTGGTGGGCGGATGGTGTCCCGGTCATGTTTTGATGGCGTCCGGGTCATGTGATGCTGGTGTCCCGGCCATGTTTTGATGGTGTCCCGATCATGTTTTGATTGTGACCCAGTCATGTTGTGATGGTGTCCCGGTCCTGTTTTGATGGTGTCCCGGTCATGTTTTGATGGTGTCCCGGTCATGTTGTGATGGTGTCCCGGTCATGTTTTGATGGTGTCCCGGTCATGTGATGGTGTCCCGGTCATGTTGTGATGGTGTCCCGGTCATGTTTTGA